TCCTACCTTGTATATATATATATATATATATATATAGTAAACTCTGATACAGAATAACAAGGTTTTCGGGAAAAAATAAACCAGTCTGCGAATGTTACAGTGCAATGTCTAATTTGCTTATTGGACAACATAATTATTAACAGTTTATTCAATTATGTTACTCTATTTGTTATTCAATTATGTCATTTGTCTTTTATTACTACTTTATTTTTCCCTATTTGAAATTCTGGTATTGTTTTCCTAGTTCTGCTGTCAGAAGACATAGCAAAGAGTTCCGACGAAATTAATGGGGGGGAAATGTGCCATGCCCTGAATATCATTGTAAATATTTCGCTTTTTATTCGTTGGATTAGTTTTCAAAGGGGAGGAAAGCTACTGTATGTTTTCGAATTATTTTTTGTCACTCTTTTTTTAGAAATCGTGTGAACTATATTTGCCTACTTCATACAAAATTAAAAAAAATTATTTAGGTTTTTTAATTTTTTTAATATATCTATCTATCTTCCTATATATATACATATTCTTGTGACAATTATTGTTAACAGATAATTAAACTTTCCATGTTTAGGGCGTCAGAGTTGCTACCAGCATACCAAGCAAACTATTCTGTTTTTACATAACTTATAGAATCTGTGATTTTAATTGAAAATATACCCTGAGTTTTGCATATCCACACGCAAATTTTCACTATTTCAATTTCTCCTACTTTTAGAATATATGATATTGATTAGCGATATTCTCTGAGTTTTACATGCGAGTATCTGTTTACATATACACATGCAAATTTTTAATTTGTCATTCAAACTTTTTTTATTTGTATCTCACTTTTAGAATCTATGATTTTGATTTTAAAGATATCCCCAAAATTTCACATAATTGTCTGTTTAAACATCCACGTGCAAATATTTAATTTGTCAGTCAAAAGTTTTCATTTATCTCTCACTTTTAGAATCTATGACATTGATTAAAGATATTCTCTGAGTTTTACATGTTACTATCTGATTACATAACCACATGCAAATTTTTAATTTGTCATTCAAACATTTTCATTTGTATCTTACTTTTAGAATCTAATTTTTATTAAAGATATCCTCAGAATTTGATTTAATATTGTTTGTTTAAATATCCGTGTGCAAATTTTCAATTTGTCATTCAAATTTTTTATTTGCATCTTATTTTTAGAATCCGTAATTTTGTTTAAAAATATCATTTGAATTTTAAATAAAACATTCTCTTTTCCAGATACTGTTTACATTTCCATATTCATATCGTCAATTTGTTATTGTTTCCAAATTTTTGAATTTGTATCTTACTTATAGAACCTCTTACTTGGATAAAAGGTATTAAATCATTTTACGTAACACTATCAGTTTACACAGTCTCATTCAAATCTTCATCTGTCAACAAGTCATTCAAAGTCATTTATTTACATCTTACTTTTAGAATCTGTGTTTTTGATAAAAAATAAAAATATTATCTCATTTCTACATGAGTCTGTTTGTTTGCATTTTCAAATTCATTAGATGTTAGAAAGATTTTTTTTTAATGTGCAAACGTCTATTATGGTTTCAGCATTTATCTCAAAGCTCATTTAATAGCTCGCTGATTTACAAAAATGTTAGCTCTAGACATCTTATCATGTTTTTATTACTCGCTTTTGTATTGGTGGTTGGTATTTTGAATCGAAATTTTAACCTCTGTCTGACTTTTAAGGCATACAAACATCTACTGAAGCTTTTTGTTGATGACAGGGCAGATTTAAGTCATTATTCGAATGCTGGAGTGGAACTTATTGTCATGTTATCGCCAAACAGAATCGTTAATTTTTGTTTCGTCACTAACTAGAATACTCAAACTTCAACTACAGCTCCGTGCTGTTTGCTCATAAAATTGTCAATCTCTCCCTGGCCGTTTCAGGCAAGTTTTATCACCATATTATAGAATGAAAAAACTTATCGCCAATCAAGATAAAATAATATTTAAAAATTAACTTTTCATTGCAGAAATGTAAAACATTTGTTTTATTTTCTCTGCAATCGGTGGAAAAATTAAAGTTTGATGCGAAACGGAACAATCTAAATATATTTTGATCTAATGTTTCTGATTAAATTTTAACTTACAAGAGCGAAATCTTAGAGGTTTTAAAAGTTGATCGGAATATGATAATTTATTCGTGCAGAGGATTTGTGCGAAATCACGAAATTAAAAACAAAATCGTACTTTCTTAGAACATTCTTTTTTCTCCATTAGAATAGGGAGAATTCGCAAATTAACGTTAGTCTCCTTGCGCTCCCGTACGTATGCGTAGAAGCTTATGTAGCGTAGAAGTGACGCATGCGCACTTCTAGTGCGCATGTATCAGTCCTGGTGAAATGCGCATGCGCCGATGAAAAAATATCAAACGTGCGTAAGTAAAAATAAGAGATTTTGCAAAAATCCGTTAGTTAAAAACTTTAACTTTGACCACAAAATCAAAGCAAATATATGCAATGGATGTAGACTATTTCTTTGAAGCTGTAGCATACTATTCAAGATGCTTTACTCTACATAAAACAGCAAATATGTGAGCAGAAAAATTAGGTAGATCATACATTTTGATGAATTCAGCGATAAAGAATGCAGCTTATTATTAAAAATATTATTGAACTTCTATAGATTATTTAGCTCCTTTTTAACGAAATTGCATAGTTAAAATAAACATAATTTATAATTTTGGTTGTTGTTGTTGTAGTTCATTTACGTCGCTCTAGAGCTGCACAATGGGCTATTGGCGATGGTCTGGGAAACACCCCAGAGAATGATCCGAAGACATGCCATCACAATTTTGATCCTCTGCAGAGGGGATGGCACCCCAGTTTCGGTAGCCCGACGACCTGCACGCGAAGTCGAGCACTTTACGGTAGAACAGTTTAACGAGAACCAATACTGCACACCCTCGGTCCCAACGCAGACTAATTCAAGTGGTCACCCATCCGCACACTGACCGTAGCCAGTGATGCTTGACTTCGGTGATCTGCTGGGAACCGTGTCTTAACAATCAGTCCACTGCGGGACCCTAATTTCAAAGTTATAAACGGTTTTTTTACTTTACGCACTTGGCAGTTGATGACTAACTGATGTTTAATATTTGAAATTATTTCTGTCAAAATGTTACTTCCTGACATATTTCCTATATAGTCAAACACCTAATGCTCCCTCTTTAGGAAAGCACTATATTCATATTTCCTAAAGAAAATACATTAAAATTAAAAATAAAATTGCGCACAAATTTCTGTAGAATAATTTGCTCCTCTGAAAAACATTTTGATTGGATTCGTCTTAATAAAAGTAATTTTATAAATTATTCCTTAGAGAAAACAATTCTGTGGATGAAATATTTTTAACATTATTTTCAATTTTAATTTATTTATATTATAGAATAGCATTTTTTTTTTTAAATATACTTTTTCTACGTCTGGAAGTTGAACAAAATTAAGAAAAAAATTCAGATATATTTTTTTTAATCTTGAGTTTTCCAACTTTTAATATCAACTTATTAAATTCGATCAAATATTTATTAAATTTTTTTTCCTGAGTTTTCAACTATTTTATTTATTAAAGATACATAAAGCCATTTTTAAAAAAAATATTTTCTGAAAATAAAGTTTAAAGATTTCTCGAAATTGTTAAACAAATTGTGACGTGTTTCTTAATCCATAATTTTCCTATTTATGAAAGACAAATAACGTCATGTTTTAAGATGTATTTTTTTCATTTGGGGATTCTAAAAAATTGGAAAATTAATTTAGATATATTTCATAATCCTTTAGTTTCCCCACAATCAATTTGCATTTGCATTTAGTGCCTTAAGCACCATTTAATTAATCTGGAATTAAATTAAATATTTGGAAAAACAGAGTAAAAAGCTTACCTTTTTTTTGATCTGCTGTCTTCTCACTTTCCATTATCATACTAATAAAGGGCGTTACAGACGGAAACATAGCCCTCGCTATAGTTGACAGCATATTTTAAGTTGTTTTATTTCTCAATTTACCAGTCTTTTAAGTTTAGGTAACAAATGTAAGGTCAACTGAAAGAAAAACTAATTGATTCGAAAGCAGCGTTGTGAAATGGAGACTTTACGAAATCTTTTGATCCATTTTAGAATGTATCCAAGGTTAGCAGCATTCTGGGATGCTTCTATAGTGGTTTCTTTTTAACCATACGAAATATGTCCATGCAAGAGAATGGAGATGTAGCAATCACGCGATGAAGGACCGATCGAGGTTCATCGGTCGTACAAGTGCAACATACCGGACCGGCCAGTTTTCTCCGTTCATTTTCGTTCGTTTGTTTATTTCTTTTCTTCCACTTTTGTTTGTTTACTTGTTCGTAAATCCTCGATGCGGATTGGAAGATGTTTTCTAGTTTCGATTTCGTGAAGGTAACTAAATAAAAATAAAAGAAGAACGATAAAAATGTACCATGGAACGTTTTTATAGTTTCATTATTACGGTTGGGTGGATCGAACGTTGGAAAGAAGATGTGCTTTGCTTACTCCAATGGATATGATCCAGTTTAAAATTGATTGCGAATTGGAAGTGACGATTTACTTAAAATTAATCTCCGTCCTTATTCACACGTACGAAGATTCGGGTCAAAATAAGTTCAAATTGTGATACTTCACTTGTCAAAAAGACTCCGAGTTTGAAGACGCATAACGATAAAATGATACTTCTTTGGTGATGTATTACTTTTGAAGAAGAATCGAATTTTGATAATTCAAAATAATGCAATTCATAGATGTATCTTCACAATTGGAGAAGACTCAATTTTTTAATAATGCCAGATAATACAATGATTGTTAGGGATGATTTTTCATCAATGAAGACTTCGATTTTAATAAAGTAAATAGGGTTAAGGTAAATAAGTTTAATAAGGTTTCTTATTCACACGAAAGAAGATTCGGGTCAAAATAAGTTCAAATTGTGATACTTCACTTGTCCAAAAGACTCGGAGTTTGAAGATGAGAAATGATAAAATGATACTTCATTGATGATGTATTACTTATGAAGAGGAATCGAATTTTGATTATGCAAAATAATGGTAATTCATTGATGATCTTCTCAATTAAAGAAGAGTCGGTTTTTTGATAATGGAGGATAATACAATGATTACAAAATAAGCGTTTTTTTTGTTTTTTTTTTTTTTTGGTCCTGACAAGATCGAGTCATATTTCTATACTAATTACAGCGCTGACGAAAGAATATCTAAATTTACGATTTTTGAACAAATATAAATTCAAAATTTAAGAAGGGAAAGGTTAAAAGAAAAATATTATTGAGATTACTTAATTGGATATCTTCTTATAAATAATGACCCCTTGTTCGTTTCATGTCTAATAAGGTATCACATTGCTTCAGGTCTAAATAAGTGTTGCACTTCTTCTTAAAAAAATTACTAATAGAAGTGGTTGAGTTTGCTATTTTTATTTTTGGGGAGGGGTTCAAAAACACAAATTGAACCATATTTCTCACTCCTTAAAATTTGGTTACATGATTTTATGGTTCAAATGTTAGTCGGAATACGGTTCAATGAGCCAGGCCGCTATATTATGGCTCAATCCACTGATATCATTACAACACTGTTGAAACAGTTTTTCTTGCAGAGTAGTTTAAATTTCAAACACACACTGTTATTTATCGTTCTTTTTTCTTCACAAACAGTAGTTTTTAAATATACTTTGTTATTACTTATTAATTTTCCGTTAGGTGAACGAAGTTCCATTTAGTGTCAGTGGCATTTTTATTGAGTTGCGTTAGAAAATACGCCCTACAAATAACTTGACACGCGGAAATATTTTTCTCTAATGTACACTGCCAAAAATATGTTACCTTTGCAAAAAGAAAACAAAGCAGCAAATAGAGAAGGAAGGAAGTTTAACAACAGACTACCTGCTGTTTCTTCAAAGGTCGTTGTCCATCATCATCAACTACAACTTCCACTCATTCGAATAGAGGTTAAAACCTCATTTAGCATCGGAGGGGAAAACAACATTTTGAGTCATGAATGGAGCGTAATTTGGCGCCAAAATATAAAAATTCAAGCGGTTAAAGTTACTCTTTTCATCATTTACAGGTTGAGAAAAAAAATAATATATGTCTGTAGTTTTGATATTATAGTAACCTACCGGATTAATTGTGAGCCAAACATGTTTGAGTCTAATGCTATTTTTGAGAATTGCCAGATGCATTAAAAAAAAAAATAGATTATGAGTCTTCAGTGAAACAGATAAACGGATTAGGTACCAAAAATAAAATTGAAAATTGTTAAATTAATTTTTTGTAATTGCATACAAGATAATAAGAGCACATCGAAATATTTTTGGAGCCTATATTATGAAAAACTACCGAATCATTCGGTAGCAAAATATAGTCAAATGCTATTTTTGAGAGTTACTCACTACATTCAAAGCAACATGAGTCTTAAATGGAACAAATTTGGTGACAAAAAAAGAGAAGAAAATTATGCAATTAAATTCTTTTTTTTTTTTAAATTTTTATCATTCACAGGGTGTTAAAAATTTATCGAACTATGTTTGGGTCCTTGCTACTAGTAAACTACCGAATAAAATTAATAAACACATTGGAGTCTAATATGTTCGGTTTGCACAGTTTAATGTTTTATATTTTCCACAATCTGGTGTTTAGACTATAAAGATAGTGTGAAAACTTGATAAGCTCTATTCTTAACACTAGAAAGACTGAACTTTGCTGTAGACTAGATAAAAAAGAGGACGAGAAGACTGAAGGAACCTAGAAAGACTGAAGGGTCCTAGAAAGACCGAAAGGGACAGTTTGGCCTTTTCCAGATTGTTCGAGCGTAGATCAATTAAACATTCAAAGTGTTAAAATATAATCATAATTAATCTGATAAAAACATATTATAGACTTGACCATCGTAACTCTATGTTATTTTATACAATTTGACAAACTAAAATAACTGATTAAACTGAACACTGGCTTTTCAATTATACATAAGTTTCTTTAATAATTTAGTCTTCTCTGTAAATAACAATGATAGATATGTCGAAGTACCTTTTCCCCCCAATGAAACTGGGGGACCATATACACTGAAAAGTCATTACATTATGACCACCCTCCATCTATAACAATGGGCTCGCCCAGGCTCTCATGGTTTCTCTCAATTCTGATTTTTAAATA